TGATGTCTTCGCACGTCTTTAAATCTATACCTTTGACATGATTTTGTTTGCTTTCTGTAAACAGAGTACTACCTACCTTTCTAGGCCATTGGAAAAAACTGTAATTGCAAGTTATGGGTGCTGGCTCAAGATTTAAGACCAGTTTTGTAATGGACACAACAGTTATGTTTGGAATATTAAACTCGGAAGGAAAACAATCATCCTCTATTGTTGTCTTGAAACTGCCTACCCACCGTTTACTGGTCTCACAATCTGCCTCTTCCTGTGTCACCCTCCTCCCTGTATTTCTTTTCTTCCCTTTCAATTTTTGCCTCATACTTTGTTCATGAATTTGTGGAAGAGAGGAGAAACTGCACCTAATACAGCCAAGAGAAGCGTATGACTTCTCGTCTAGTTCTTCTTAAATGTCAGTTTAGGACCCTGAATGCATTTTTTTTTTTTTTTAATACGGTATCCCTCCCCTCCCTCTGAACTGTTCTTTACGACAGCCTCTTGTTCATCCAACCTTGCTCACCTGCAGTTTTGTAACAATCTTTACTCCTGAAGCCAGTAAAAGATCATCCCTTACAAATCTCCTTATTAACAGCTCTGAAAATACAAATGTGCATCCTATCCCCAAGGGCAGAGTTCTGCCCCAAAACCCAACAAAACTTATTTCCAACCATATGCGCTATCAAGCCATTATTACAGGTCTCTGTCTTTTTTTGGGAGGATGAGGGGGGCGGTAGTCCTCCCTCCAATGCACCACGTCTTCTTTTTCTGCAAATACTACATTTTTAAATGGACAGAGCCCATTCCGTGCTACTGCTTTATAACTTTTCACTACTACTAGAGAAAGGGCTCTAGAACAAAAGGCAGAAGCTCATCTTGGACTACAAGAAGTGAAATAAACCCCCTTAATTCCCCCCACCAAACCACCACCTGCCTTCTAACCCTGCCAAACACCCCAGACATCCTGCGTTCTCTCGGGGGGTGGGGTGGGGGTGGGGGTGTTGGGGGGAATCCACACAAGAGCACTGGAAAACACCGAAATCCGCCCGTGCGCTCTTACATCGACTGAGCGCAGTACTCGGCCCGAGCTCGGCACAACAGGCCG